TGTACCAGTTTTTTTTTTTTTTTTTTTATGAATGTGGGAGTGTTTGTACTTTGTACTCGAAAAATGTAAAGGGTTCATAAGAATCGGACGAACTCCATGATACCCCAAGTGAAAGTAATGATTGACATCTATTTCTAATAGCTTTATGTGTCTAGTCTATGGTGGAAGATTGAGCATCCTGGAAATTCTTGAGTTTCTTTTGATTCGCATGACAGAAAACAAATTAAAGGTAGTGGTAGTACTACTATCTACTATCTAGGGGCGGAGCTAGTTAGGGGTGTATATGGGTCGGCTGGGTTGGGTTTCACCCATTTAGTCATCCAACCCATATATTTTGGTTTGGAGAATGTCAGACCCAAACCCAATCATAAATTTCAAAGCCCTGTCGGTTTGATCGTTCTCGGGTTGGGTTGGATAAGAGTTCAACCCGAGAGAAAGCCAACCCGAAGCTTAGGGTAATTCAAGCCCTCGTCAAGTGGTGCAAACATCATGAAAATCCTAAAATTAGAAACGAAGAATTTAATATCATACGCTTGAAATCCAACCCAAAAAGAAAGAGCCCTTTGCCTCTGGAGTTTCAAACAGAAAAAGAACAAATACCAAATGTTGCTTGTGTGATGGACTATGGAATGAATCGGCCGCAAATTGATAAAGTTGGATGTTATGGAAAAACAAAGACGAACCATCGCCGAGAGAATAGAGTGAATATGTGATGGCAATAATGACTACGACTTTGTATGCGAGATGACCAGTTGGAGAAAGAAGAGGAACTATCAAACTGGCAAAATTGCAGTAGAGCTCGAGAGAGAGAGATGGGAAGCAATTAGTAAGCGGCGGATCGTAAAGAGGACTCGAGGGATGGAGAGGGAATGAATTGGCGGCTGGAGATGCAGATGGGAAAACCCTAGAGATTGTGGAACCATTCATTTTTATATATATATATATATATATATATATATATATATAGTGGCTACTTCGGCGCACTCACTTTTTTGGGTGCACTCAGTGCACCCACTCTAAAAGTGTCCATATTACATCAAATTTTGAACTTTAATTAGTACTCTCAATCTAATATGATGATATGACATAGAATCATAACAAATCAATCTATTACCCTAACCCCTTAACCTTCAATTTTGAATCCCAATCCAAAACCCCAAATTTTAAACCTAATCCCTAACCCTAAATCCCTAAATCCTAAATCCTTCAAATTAAAGTAAATTTTGAATGAATTTTTTTTCAAATTCATGTGCTTCTTGTTCATAATATCATAAGCAACAATTGATACCGTTTTGACATGAATCATATGCTCAGAATGACAATTATGAGGCGGGTGCACTGAGTGCACCCAAAAAAGTGGGTGCACCGAATACGCCACCATATATATATATATATATATATATATTACCCTAGGTGATGTCGTTTTAGTGGTTTCTTAGGTGATTGGGTTGGGTCGGATTTGCACGGGTTTGAGACACCCAACCCGTAACCAACCCATATAACTCAATGGTGGACGGTTTTCTCGGGTGGGCTGGTTTGGGTGGGTCGGGTTTCGGGTCCTTTTGTTCACCCCTAGAGCTAGTGTAATAGGGTGGGCCCTAGAACCCACATTGATATGGGAGATTAAAAAATTACTCGTATTTTGGTATTTGAAAAATGGACACATTAAAAAATACAAAATACGTAAAGAAGCAAGATTTTTCAAAACACAATAAATATATCAAAGTGATATATATGATTAATTAGTATGATATAAGAGATCTCAAGTTCCACTGGATGTAATCTTTTTTGTTTTATTTCACTTTTTGTATTGATTTGTCTATTTTGAATTTACTCCCCCACTTTCAATTTAAAAGAATTATTTTTTTTACTAAATTGATAGCTAGTTTGCGTTTGGAGAATCAGAATCGAAGATTTATTCATTTTTTTATAATGGTGATTAATATTAAACGAAAGTGAAAGGACAAACAAAACCAAATATGACAAGGGCATCACGAGTTGTGAAACTAAGATTTATACATTAGATGTTGGAGTATAGTATCATATTCCCAAATCGATTTAATGCATCATCTAGATAGAGATATCTCACTACGAGTACTCAGAGTATCATATCTATACTCCATAACTATAGTAGTCTGATCTCAAATAAATAAATAAGTATTATTATTAAATATTAATGTGTTTATGTTTCTTAGATGGACCTAACTTAATTAATTTTCCTGCTAAGCCCCTAGTTCTATCGATTTCTATTAAATGGATCAGCTCAATAAGTATTCTATATGCGATGGTAAATTTATAAATAATACTTCATTTCTTCTAAACGACATTATTATAAGCTTTAAATGGACTGAAATAACACTCATGATACAATATATGAATTTCATTATCAAGCCGACTTGTTTCCTTATACACAACCCACGCCTATTTGGGAACAGATTCAAAATATGAGAAATCAAACTCAAGAAAGAATTAGAAAGAGCTCAGCCTGGACAAGAAAGAATCGTTTACATGCACTTACCAAAAGAGCCACAATGTGTACATAGAAGTCGACCACTGTTGTTGTCTGCCACCTACACACACATATATATAAGTAGATCAAAGATCGCATTCATTCATCAACGACGACTACATAATAATAATAATAATAACAACAACAACGGATCAGCTTGTGTTATTTTTCTTCAATGGATCAGCTTAATTAGCGGAGAAAATCTCAAAATACACATATTTTTAAAATTTTTTTAAAATACAGACGTTTTATGAAAAATTCTCAAAATACACCTAAACTTCAAATGAACGTAATTTTGCGCTCGGTTATCCGATTATAGCGAAAAAATGTTTATTTCACATAAGTTTTCAAGATCTTTCAATCTGCAACAAGTCTTCATCCCAAAAAATATCGTTTGATATCTCGAACGAACAAATTTTCGATTTCAACAAACTTTGGAAGACCATAACTTTATGCTCCGTCGAATATCATAAAACATTTTTTGATTTCGCATAAATTTTGACGAAATACAATTTTGCACCGCCGATCGAGAGTGGTGGTGAGCACGGGAAAGGGTCGGTCGACAACAAGGGGCTACCGGTTAAACAAATCATCCCATAATAGGGTATTGATAAAGAACATGTGCTAATGATCAAATTTGGACAGACAACCACCCCACCCAAACTGATATGATATACATATAATTAATTTCAGTGCTCCGCTGCCTGCACACCAACCAAGCTTGTCAAGTTGTCATAAAAAAGCATCTTCCAACCACTAATTTTATTTAATAACATGCTAGTTATGGGGACAATTAGATGGGATCTCTACGCAATTTTGTTTCATATAACAGTAATCACAATCAAATTACTATTATAACAATAAACAAACATTCCCCATTAAATACGAATGGGCAAAGGGATGGGATATGACATCACACCCAACATTCTAGTATTTCCAACTTTTTTGTTTAGCGATAACATTATTTATTTTCCAACTGATCGATTGTAGTTTCGAATTTTAAAAGTGAACTTTTCTTTTCCCCATGCAGATCCCATTAGTACTGTTCCTAGTGGGCTAAATTACACAGTTGGTCACTCAAATTATATAAATATTTCACGTTTGCCATTTAAATTACTTTTCTTTCTTATTCCCCACTAACTTTACGAATCTTTTCACCATTAACACTGGCCGTTACACTCTGTTAAGTGTTTCCTACGTGGCAGTCAATATATTTTTCACATCATCATTGCATTTACTTTATCTATATGATTTATGATATTAATTATTTAATAAAAAATAATTAAATTAAAAAAATGAACGGCCTCCTCTTTCCTCGTCGCTGGTGCACTCGTACCAACCAGATCGGCGCTCTTCTCCTCGTCGTCGTCACCTTCTTCCTCACTCGCCTCTTTCACCAGTCCTCTCACCGCACCGCTACTTCCTTCAGCGGGAGCGACTTCGGCTCTGGCTCCGGGAAGAGCCTCATTCGTATCTCCGCCGCCAGATACCTGTAATGGCCTAACCGTGGCTACGGTTAATGTTGGAAGATTTAAAGTCAGAAATTTCAGATTCAAATTGAAGAAGACCCGTTGCTTATTTTAAGGAGCAGAAAAGGAAAGCCTCACCAATCTATGCCATCAAGAACGATCCTTTCCTTTCCTAGTGCAACGGCTCTGTCTCAACAAATCTATATATAGTCCTAAACTACGTATTGAGAATGTAACTTTTGTAGTGTAGAGTAATTCAGAGGTATAGGTCTGTGATTACAAGTACAAAAGGGGCTTGGCTTAAGATAGGTGGAAAAGGGTCTATCTTAGTGGTTAACAGATCAGTGGTGATCTGGGTTCTCGGTGTGAGAAGGTGAAATTGTTCTTGTTTCAATCTTTCATTTGAGTCCTTTTTATTTCTTCTTGATAGGTTGAAAATCAATAAAAGTGTCTCTCGGAATTGGTCGGTGACTGATTCTGGGACGTGGAGTAGCCGTAGATTGGTGAACCACGTTAAAAATTGTGGTGTTCTCTCTTTGTCCCTTTACAACTTTACTCTGTTTTCAGTTTTTCTGGGCAATTCTGATCAGGTTCTGCTACTTTCAATCTGAAGGAAGAAGACGATTAAGTCTCTTCAGTACAGATTCATTATCTGCACCGGCTGATCACTTTAGCCCAACCTTTCATTTTGTTCTTTTACTTAGTTTTTTGGTTTTATAACGTGTTGGGCCAAAGTCTATTTTCAAGCCCAACTTGAGTTCAGAAGAAAGATCATCAAAGCCATTTCACGGTCTTGTCTTCTCTTCTTCCCTTTGTTCGTGCTCTCTGGTTTCTCTGATCAAAATCCCTAATTCCAAAAATCTTGAATCCCTAGCCTGTTAACAAGTGGTATCAGAGCTCGTGCTTGACGAAGCTAATCGCTGCCAAGTGAAAGATCCATGGCATCAATCAAGTTCGGGCAAGCTGCTCTCAATTCCCCTCCGATTTTCACTGGCTCAAACTATACGGCCTGGAAAAAGAGGATGAAAACGTTCCTATGGGGAATTGATGATGAGCTATGGTTGGTGGTACAGAATGGTCCCGTTCAGATGGATGCAGATAAACAATCTGAGTGGAGTGCAGCCCAGAAGAAAAGTGCTCAATTGAATCAACGAGCAATGCACGTTCTGCAAGCCTCAATGGTTCCAGAAGAAGCTGACAAAGTCGAGCATTGCCAGACAGCTACAGAAATCTGGGCATCACTGGAATCCACCTATGAAGGTACTTCGAATATAAGAGAAACTCGAATTGACCTCTTAATGCATGATTATGAATGTTTCGATATGATTGCTAATGAGAGTATTCAGGAAATGTATTCCAGATTTACGGTCTTGATTAACAAATTAAGGGGTCTTGGAAGAAGTTTTCAGTCTAAAGACTTGAATAGAAAAATTCTTAGGTCTTTACCTAAGGATTGGCTTCCAAAACGTACTGCTATCGAGGAGGCCAAAGATCTTAATACGCTGTCCATAGATGAATTGATAGGTTCTCTTCTTAGTCACGAGCATGTTATAAAACAGGTTAGTCAAGATGATGATAAACGCGAAAGGACACTGGTTTTTAAATCTAAAGTAGTAAATTATGAGTCCGAGAACGATCTTGATAGTGATTTTGACAAGGAATTTGCTCTTGTTAGTAGACGTTTTCATCAACTGTTGAAATATAAAAATGACCAAAAGCGTCAATCTGATAAATCTAAGAATGATTGTTATGATCGTAACCAAAATGGTCTCCAAGACAGGCTGCTATACCAGCAGACCAGAAAATTTGATACAGGTATGCAGGGAAAGGAACTTCTGACTTGTTACAAGTGTGGGAATACTGGACACATTCGAGCCAGTTGTCCTCAATCTCTAAGGCCAAAAGAAAGAGGAATGGTGGCTACTTGGAGTGATTATGAATCGGGATCAGATGATGACAAGATCAATGAAGAAGCATATATGGCGTTCACCTTTAAAACTGAAACCAGCACATCTGATGTTGAAGAAGAGCTCTCTTTGCCATCAGCTCGTATTGAGGTGAAGTCGGACCCCACATCATCCAAGGTAAATCCTGATAATTTCTTATATGCTTTGGAAAACTTGGAGGAAGAGTGTCGTAGCTTGAAATTTAAATATTGTCGTCTTCAGGAAGAAGTCCGTAAAAAGAATAATGACATAGCTAATATGAAGAGAACTATTGAACTTGATCATCTCAAGTTGGTTGAGTTAAAGAGAGCAAATGAATTAGTTGTCATAGAAAGAGATCACTTGCATAAGTTACTGAATCATAGGAATTGCTCTACTGCTTATATGTGTTCCAATAGCCAAGAAGGCTATTTGTAGGAGAATAAATTGTGCTCCCTGGAACTATAACCACAATCATTTACAAACTAGGCTGCCTTATGATAAGACTAAGAGAAATCTTAAACGTAAAAATAGTCAGCATATCAGCTATGACAAAGCTGCTATATTGAGATGCTATACCAGCCTAAGAGCCGGTCATACAAGTGGAAATTGTCACCAGCATCTTCCTTTGTACTCTCGACTTTGGAAACCCATACCTAGACAGGTTTGGGTTCCAAAGAAAACTAATGGTTGATCTTGCCGCGTATGGGAGCTTTTGTTGCCATTGATTTCTTGTCAATGGGTGCTCCCACTACATGACAGGTAAGGCATTTTCTTCTCTTTTCTCTTGGATTTCTCTAGTGAGTTTCTATTTCAAGTCAGTGGATAGTTGTAGATGGATGTTATTCCTGGTAGTTTTCCCTACATCTTGCTTTACTTCACATTCCGGTTTACAAATTGAGGGGGAGAATATAGGTTCTTGATCATGTTGTCCTGCTTCCTAATCATGTTATGTTGTTGCCTTGAGCTTTCTGCTCTAAATAATATTGCATCTATTGTAGAAAGTTTCATAAGAAATTGTGATCTTTAGCCAGTTCTGGCCAGCATATATGTTACTCTCCTACTGCATCTCGTTATGGGTTTTGACTTACTTGTTCCACCAGTTTTTCCTCGTTATGGGTTTTGACTTACTTGTTCCACCAGTTTTTCCTGTTACAATTTTTTGGTAGGGGAGGTATTTTGTCTTGTTTGCAATAACCTATTAAATTGCAATCTTTTGTTTTGGGGGGGGGGGGATTATTCTTCTTTTGCATCGTGAAAGCATCTTGATACTTGATATATCATTATTTGTTGGTCCTTTCTCCTTCCTCCCCAACTATTAGTGCTCTTCTCCTGTTAATACTTCATAGTTGGTTGGATAATGCTTGATCTCAGGGGAGACCATAATTGCTTCTATTGTTCTCATTGAATGATTTATCTAGCAATGGTGATTAAGTGTGCTGATCTTCTTACTTTATCTAAACTTGAGATTGCGATTGAGGGGGAGATATATGAATGCCTATTTGATTTGGTGTAGCAGCGACTCAAATACAGGCTCCGGCTCAGATGATGGTTGCCGGACTCGTCTCTGTGTTTAGACCCTGTCTGTGGATGTTGTCTTGCGTACCTTGGTATCTTTGAATCTGTGATTGCAGGTATGTAGCAATCGTCAATCTCTGACTTAGGGGGAGATTGTTGGAAGATTTAAAGTCAGAAATTTCAGATTCAAATTGAAGAAGACCCGTTGCTTATTTTAAGGAGCAGAAAAGGAAAGCCTCACCAATCTATGCCATCAAGAACGATCCTTTCCTTTCCTAGTGCAACGGCTCTGTCTCAACAAATCTATATATAGTCCTAAACTACGTATTGAGAATGTAACTTTTGTAGTGTAGAGTAATTCAGAGGTATAGGTCTGTGATTACAAGTACAAAAGGGGCTTGGCTTAAGATAGGTGGAAAAGGGTCTATCTTAGTGGTTAACAGATCAGTGGTGATCTGGGTTCTCGGTGTGAGAAGGTGAAATTGTTCTTGTTTCAATCTTTCATTTGAGTCCTTTTTATTTCTTCTTGATAGGTTGAAAATCAATAAAAGTGTCTCTCGGAATTGGTCGGTGACTGATTCTGGGACGTGGAGTAGCCGTAGATTGGTGAACCACGTTAAAAATTGTGGTGTTCTCTCTTTGTCCCTTTACAACTTTACTCTGTTTTCAGTTTTTCTGGGCAATTCTGATCAGGTTCTGCTACTTTCAATCTGAAGGAAGAAGACGATTAAGTCTCTTCAGTACAGATTCATTATCTGCACCGGCTGATCACTTTAGCCCAACCTTTCATTTTGTTCTTTTACTTAGTTTTTTGGTTTTATAACGTGTTGGGCCAAAGTCTATTTTCAAGCCCAACTTGAGTTCAGAAGAAAGATCATCAAAGCCATTTCACGGTCTTGTCTTCTCTTCTTCCCTTTGTTCGTGCTCTCTGGTTTCTCTGATCAAAATCCCTAATTCCAAAAATCTTGAATCCCTAGCCTGTTAACAGTTAAGTCCTCTCGAAGAGACTGAGATTAATGGCTTGAAAGAGCTGATGCACGGTTGTGATGGGAAAATCTCCGTCGAAGCTTGCGTTAAAGGCCAATGGGGCACTCAGGTTTGTGTTAATTCTGTTCTTGAATTTCTTCCATGTTCGAATTCATCGTTCCTGTTATCTGTTTGATTAGAGCTTCGGTGAATCAGAGATTGAGTTGATTTTGTGGATTGGATTGATTTTCTAGGTTGAGATATATAAATTGATGTTGAAATCAGAGTTTCGGATTAAGAGGAAAGAGGAAGGCAATCAAACTCCTTCCCCACTTCTCCGATTCATCTGCCGTGGCTTTCTTCAACGCCATCAAAATCCTTCCCCTCTCATCGAGCTTCTTCACAGACAATCGGAGCACGGCGGTCCCTCCCGGCGGTGCTGCTGCTGGGTTCTTCGGGTTCCCATCCAGCGAACTCCTTCCCCACTCCTCCGATTCATCTGTCGTGGCTTTCGTTAACGCCATCGAAATCCTTACCCTCTCATCCAGCTTCTTCGTCGACAATCGGAGCGCGACGGTCCCTCCCGGCGGTGCTGCTGCTGGGTTCTTTGGGTTCCCATCCAACGCTCTTCTCCACTGTTGGGTTCTTTTGTGGAACCGCTTCACGGGCAGTTATTCCAGAGATGCAGTTGTTAAAGGATGGTGTTCATACCCTTTGGCGCCGAAGTTGCAAGATCCACAGGACAACTTCTTCAACGACCTGGAGTTCTTGGCGAAGCTTCCATCCCGGCATCGGTGATTTCCAGGCATGACCGGAGCAACCAAGCCGACGAGCACGGCTAAGTTATTTAAAAGGCTTCTAAGAAAAATTTATTTACAAGGCTACGTGGATGCAGGATAATTTCTGATCCTATTGCACTGGTTGATTATATAAATTTCTTCCTCCCACAGATAATTAATTTTTAATTTATAAAAAAATTTCAGTAATTTTTATGAAATAATTAATCATATAGACAAAGTAAGTAGAATGATGAGGTGGAAAAATAATTGTATTTTTTTATTATTTTTAATTTTCACGTCATCAAGTTAACGGTCAAACTTTATAGTTGACTGCCACGTAAGATAAATTTAACGGAGTGTAACGGCCGATACCAATGGTGAAACGATTCGTAAAGTTAGTGGCGAATAAGAAAGAAAAGTAATTCGGGTGACAAACGTAAAAAATTTGTATAATTTGAGTGACCAAACGTATAATTTAGCCTTTCCTAATCACTAATATATATGAAATCATTTAGTAATTATTCCCCACGGGAATATACTAATTTATGCAATACTACAAGTAACTGCGCCCACCATGTTCTGATGAAGCTAGTCGCTTGTTAGTTCATTTAATAACATGCTAATTATGGAAAAGATTAGATGGGATCTCTGACACTTTTTAGATCTAGTGGCTTTTTGAGTGAAATGAAAAATAACTAAGGTAGAGAAGCAAAGTCCAAGTACAAAGCAAAAACTCAAACTACCCTCAAGTACAGCATTATGCACTCGATATTCATCCATTGCGCAAGTCCAATGTTAACTTTTTATGATGACAAATGATTATCAAATTCATACTCAACATGCGTGATCATCTCATATGGGAGTTGGAATAGCAAGTAAAGGTTTGGCCTTTTGCAAAGCTATTCCAAACTTCTCTTCCATATCCAGTTTCTCTGGCTCCACGCCATCTGATAGTTTCCAATCGAACCAATGAATCAATGATCCCAACATCATATGCAACATTCTTAACGCCAACGGCATTCCAGGACATATCCTTCTTCCTGCGCCAAATGTGACCAGCTCAAAATAGTTTCCCTTGGCATCGACATCCGAGCCTAAGAATCTTTCTGGCACGAACGAGGTTGGATCGTCCCATATGGCTGGATCTCGACCTATAGCCCATAAATTGAGTAGAACTCTTGCACCTTTGGGCACGGTGAAGCCGTTGATTTCCACATCTGCACCTGCCTTGCGGGGAAGTAACAAAGGAAGGGCTGGGTGCAGCCTAAATGTCTCTTTTAGTATTGCTCGCAGATAAGGTAACTGGGGAATGTCTGATTCCGCAAGATGATTACCCTTCCCAATCATCTCGTCTAGTTCGTTCTTGGCTTTGACAAGCTTGTCCGGATTGCGGAGGAGTTCGGCCATCGCCCATTCTAGTGAGCTTGCAGTGGTATCGGTTCCGGCTACAAAGAGATCCTAGTATATGAACAAATCAAAGATCGGTGAGCACGTACGAGAAAATAAAGGAATAAGAGTAGGTAGGGTTTAATTTACACTAGGAATTTCATGAATGGAAAATAGTCAGACGTTAGTTACTCGCCAAGAATAGGTGTTTGATGCCAGTTGGATTCATTTGAGCCTCGCGATTGTTGTCATCGCCAATGGTAAGAAGCGTGTCGAGCATGTCGTTAGTGGAGACATAGCTCTCCGACTTCATCTTCCGCAACCTTTGGGCGATGACCCATCCAAAGAGATCCAAAACCTTGCCTACGTGACCCTTGTTCCGCCTCTGTATCCCCTGCAAATCCAACTTCCCCAGAACGGGGAAGAAGTCTCCCAAATTGGGTCTCCCGGCCTCTTCCATGATCCCCCTCGCAACCTCCTTGAACTCCCTGGCCGTCTCCGATTTCTCCTCGTCCGCCAGGTCCATCGAGAGAACAGTGGCCGACAGAGCATTCAAACTGGCCCTGAACGCCACTCTCCCAACATCCACCGCCTCTCCCGGCCTCTCAGAGGCATTTCGTCGAACACCTTCCAGCACCTCGATAATCTTCTCCCTGCGGAGGCCCTGGTTCAAATCCAGCTTCTGGGTCGCGAAGACATACGAGTTGCACACTTTCCTGACGTTCCTCCACTTTGGCCCCACAGGGAGCAACGGCAGGGCGAACTTGTGGGTGTCGAGGACCTCCATGGCCAGGATCCCATGGCGGTCCGAGAGGACTTTGTCGTGCTTTTGGAGAATCTCCTTGGCGAGAGCCGGGGAAGAAGCCACGATGGTGGTGACTTGGCCCAGTTTGAGCGTCATTAACGGCCCGTGAACCTTGGCCAGATCGGCCAGTGATATGTGAGGCTTGAGGCCCAGATTGTGGAGGTTGCCGATTATTGGCAGCCGGGCGGGACCTGGCGGGAGTTTGCCCGCTGGAGTTCTTGGCAGCAGGAATCGGAGAATGGTGAGGGTGAAGATAAGGCAGAGAAAGCAGTTCAGGAGGAGGAAGAAATCCATTGTTTTCTTTTCTACGCCAGGATTTTAGTTAGCTTAGCTTAGCTTAGCTTAGTAAGTTTGCGCTAGATATCGAGATGGTGACTAAGTAGATATATTCTTCTATTGGACTTTCTCTACATGCATGCCAGTAGCCAGTAGCTGCCTGCCTAGGATTCCATCCAAGCCTTTTCTTTTTTTAAACAAAACATAGCTAGGAATTTCCTACAAATGTTTTGAAGTACTTTAATTTTTTTTTTTTACCTGGTATAGCATGTTTCATTGATCGAATTACGAAAAATAAAATAGTTATCATATAATGATTATGTAATTTGTGCTTATCTTATGTAAATATCTTTACGTAAGCTTTACGCAATTGACGGTCCTTTTACGTAATGAATTATGTAAAGTAATAAGTTATTACGGCAGGCTTATATAACGCTTCTGATTTAACTATTACGTAAGAAATAACTTTCGTTCCATTGCCTTTACATAATGAATGTGTATTTTACATAACAATTGTAAAGTGTCATTACGGAAGCCTTACGTAGTGAAAGGTCCTTTACGTAATGATATTAACCTCGCGTTAGGTAATATGCTTAGTCATTACGGGAGTCTTATGTAACATTTCTGGTTTAAATGTTACGTAAGAAATAACTATCGCTATGTAACATTTACGTAATGTATGGGTATTTTGCATGACAGTTTTAAAGTGTAATTACGGAAGCTTTACATAATGTATGGTCGTTTTACGTAATGAAAATTAACTTTGTGTTACGTAAAGTGTTAAAACATTACAGAAGTCTTATGTAATGTTTCTGATTTAACTGCTACGTAAAAAAATTGTGGTTTCATATCCTTTGCGTAATGTATATGTATTTTATCTAACAATTATAAAAGCTCAATAAAGGATAACCTGCACTGCTGATTATCACTGTTTTGGTCAATGGTTTAAAATGATTTTAGTATACTTTTCAATATGTATCCTCATGTTAAAGTCAATCCTAGCTTGGAATGTGCATGGTTTAGGAAGTTCTGAGAATAGAGCGAGAATTAAAGCTATAATTACTAGTTATCCTTTATTGAGGAATCTCAAATAATACACAGTTTGGCCTAAAATGAAGCCATCAAAATTACAGAACATTCCCCCAATTTCGATAAAAGATCTGCCAAAATCACTAGTTATCCTTTCCAACCAATTTTGGATGAATATCTTATGGAATTATGATTATTGATGATAATTGTCAAGTCTAATTTGTAGTGATTCTTAATTATCCATTAATTAGGGATCACTTTGTACTTTTCCCTTTACTCCGCGTTGCATGTGTATAGGAGTTTAGGGTTTGGTTTTCGGGTATAAAACCCCTTGTAATTGCCGGCTGTACTCAAGAGAGAAGTAAGATAATAAAACCTATCTCGAGAGCTTCGTGCTCTCCGTGGAGTAGTCTCGTTCACATCGAACGGGGAAACCACGTAAATCGCTGTGTTCTTGTGTTCTTTTTCCTTCCGCATTATCGTATTTTACATGGTATCAGAGCTGGCTAATTAGATCCAGTTATCATCATCATGAGTTCGGGCGACGAGACGGAACAACCCTCGAAGCTCAAGTCTGGCGGCGCTGGTGGCTCCATGAATCCCCACGTTTTGCCGCCGCATCTTGTCCTCCATAACTCTGACAGTCCAAACAGTCAGTTTGTGGGGGAGCTGCTCAACGACGTAAACTATAGTGAATGGGTCGTCGACATCACTGATTCGCTTATTGCGAAAAACAAGCTTTGCTTCGTGGATGGAACTCTACCGCCTCCACAAGGATCAGCCGAGACAGAGGCTTTGCGACAGTGCAACGCCATGGTTAAGGGCTGGTTGAAGACCTCTATGACCAAAGAGGTACGCGGCAGTGTGCGTTTTGCGGCAACTGCGCGCGAAATATGGGTCGATTTGCAGTCCCGCTTCGGTCACGGCAGTGCACCGCGTATCTACGAGCTCAAAACCACCATCATCAGCTTGCAGCAGGAGAAATCCTCCGTATCGTCCTTCTACACAAAGTTACGTGGCTATTGGGACGAAATTCAGTCGCTGACTCCTTCATTGGAGTGCACTTGTGCAGGCTGCAGCTGTGACGTGAAGAGGCGGCAGCGCGAGGTACGTGAGAGCGAGAGGCTGTTTGATTTTTTAATGGGTTTGGATGATGTGTTTGCTACTGTTAAATCCCAAATCCTAGCCATGAAGCCTATCCCTAGTCTTGGAGAAGCATATCAGCTGGTCATGAACGACGAACAGCAGCGCCAAATAGCACAGAGCCGTCGTCCACGACCAGAGGCTTCGGCCTTCCAGGCACAGGGGGAGAAACGCGCTGAACGACCTGATCGGTCCTCCACTCGATCTGATCGAGATGCTCGTCCGGATCGTGAGCCAGATGATCGCCCGCGCTGCTCCCATTGTCGACGTCGAGGGCATTCGAAGGAAACCTGCTATCAGCTCATTGGTTATCCAACGCGCAGCAATAACAGGTCAGCTGAGCAGTCCTCTCGTTCGCGGGCTGATCGGGACTCGCGTTCTTCACCACAGGCCGCGCAAGTTGATGTGGCGGAGAGCTCACTCCCAGGTATAACAGCAGCGCAATTCGCCCAATTGAAGGCCATGCTTGCCTCGGAATTTCATCACTCGTCGTCGGGGTCCATCGAGCCTTCCTCAAATATGGCAGGTATGTTTTCGTCACAGTCTCATATGTCGAAAACGTGGGTAATAGACTCCGGGTGCAATGAGCATATTGTTAACCACAGTTCTTTGTTGGATGTCGAGTCGGATTCTTGCCCGACCTTGCAGGTGAAAATTCCTAATGGTACAGGTGTTAAAGTCCATAGTATTGGCTCGACTAAACTGTCGGATGATTTGATTTTGGGTCGTGTGCTACATGTTCCTGATTTTCAGTGCAACCTCCTGTCTGTTAGTCGGCTTACAGCAGATCTGCCAGTTGCATTGATCTTCTTACGTGACTTCTGTGTAATTCAGGACTTACCTTCCAAGAGGCTGATTGGGATGGGTAAGCATGTTGATGGTCTTTACATTCTTCGGCTGTTCGATGGCGATCATCCTATGGCTAACAGTGTCAGGAGTGCAGTAGAGACTTCGGAGTCGTGGCATGCGCGTCTTGGGCATCCATCGTTTGGAAAGATGAATGTTTTGCAGAAACTTGTTGATTGTGTTTTTGTTCAGAATAAGGAACCCTGTCAATCTTGTTTGCGTGCTAAGCAAACTCGGGATCCCTTTCTTCCCAGCACTATTAAATCCAAAACATGTTTCGAATTAATCCATGTGGACATATGGGGGAGTTATAAGACAGCTTCTACTTCAGGAGCACATTATTTTTTGACTATCGTGGATGACTATAGTCGTGCAGTCTGGGTATTTTTGATGAGATATAAATCTGATGCAGGCCGCCACCTCTTATATTTCTGCAACATGGTTCAGACACAATTTGGCAGTCAAGTTCGGCGCATACAAGCCGATAATGGCGCTGAGTTCTCTAGCAACCAGTTAGTCGAGTATTACGAGAGCAAAGGCATTATCCTGCAAACTTCCTGCACGGACACTCCACAGCAGAACGGCGTTGTTGAACGTAAGCATCGCCATTTACTTGATACTGCTCGGGCACTGCGTTTCCATGCACATCTCCCGTTACGGTTTTGGGGAGAATGTGTCCTCACTGCAGCGTATCTCATAAACCGTCTCCCTTTGGTACCTATTGGCAATAAGTCTCCTTATCATCTTTTGTTCAACAAGGAGCCGAGTTATAGTCATTTACGGAGCTTTGGCTGTTTGGTATATGCTCGTGATACTCATCACAATTTACACAAATTTGGTGATCGGGGACGCATGGGGGTGTTTCTGGGTTATCCCATGGCACAACGAGGCTATCGCATATATGACATTGAGAAGAAACAAGTGTACACTTCACGTGATGTCAAATTCCTCGAGCATATCTACCCCTACCGTGATCTACTTACTCCTGCGCCTCGTCCAGGTTCTCTGCCGCAAGGGCTCTCCCAGCCAGCTGCATTGGACGACGAGGAAATCGCACCTGCCTTCCGGGACAGTGACGGGCTGGATGCTGCACAGCCTAATTCTCCTTCGGCCACTCCTGGTTCGTTGGAACCCACGGACTTAGATGGTGCTCTCACGGATTCTTCTCCGCCTCCCTTTGCTTCGGAAATGGAGAATTCTCCTTCTTCTTCAGCAGGTGCTCCCACTCCCCCAGCCGTGCAGATTGCACCTCCCCTACGGCGAAGTGATCGCGTGCGAAAGCCTTCCGTCCGGTTGGAGGGATACGAAGTACAACTCCCAAAGGCAGCTAATTCTGCTCGTGCTTGTTACCCGATGGATGATTACCTCAGTTACCACCGCCTTTCTATGGCGCATCACGCCTTTGTTGCCGCGGTTACGGGGATCAATGAGCCGAGATGTTTCTCTCAGGCCGTTCGCTATGAATATTGGCGCAAAGCCATGCAGACTGAGATCACAGCTCTTGAAGACAATGGTACTTGGTCACTAGTTTACTTACCCCCGGGCAAGAAAGCTATTGCTTGCAAATGGGTTTACAAGATCAAGTTCCATCCTGATGGGACCATCGAGCGTTTCAAAGCGCGGTTGGTTGCCAAAGGTTTTACCCAGGTTGAAGGCGTTGATTTTCATGATACTTATGCCCCTGTCGCGAAATTGGTCACTGTTCGCTCTGTTCTTGCTGTTGCTGTGACGCGTGATTGGCACATCCATCAGCTTGATGTCAACAACGCATTCCTTCACGGTGATTTGGAGGAGGAGGTATACATGCAAATCCCGCAAGGGTTTGCCAAGCCAGGTGATACTCGTGTTTGTCGGTTGCATAAATCGATTTATGGCTTGCGTCAGGCTTCTCGGAATTGGTACCAGAAGTTCACCCAGGCCTTGCTTGAATTCGAATTCGTCCAGAGCAGGGCGGATCATGCTCTCTTCACTTATCGACGTGGCTCCACCTTTGTTGTGGCTCTCATCTATGTCGACGATGTCATCCTTGCCGGTAATGATCTTTCATTCATTCAGCGTGTCAAGACGTTTCTTCATGACAAGTTCACCATCAAGGACCTTGGGACCCTCAAATACTTCCTTGGCATCGAGGTTGCTCGTTCTCCCAAAGGTCTCGTTCCTCTCTTTGTATCCGACTATGAGTCGCTTCTTTGATTTCCAGACTTGGCTGGTTTCCAGAATGTAACTGTCTATTTTTTCGATCAATACATGATATCTTTTGAAAAAAAAAAATTACACATTAAGTACATATAGTCTCTTTTCCTTCAATGCATGTCATATAGTAACATAGACTTATTCTTATAGTTATTTAGCTATTCTTGTAGTTCCTTTCATCAACAATAGCATTATTTATTATATATAAGCGTAAAGTGAGGTTACGGTTGCATAAACAATTACACTTTCATACCTCAAATTTAATTAAATTACAACTTAGTCACTATAATGTACATTTTCACATTTTGATACTCCAAATTTAATTTTAATACAAAATTATTGAACAATTATGTTTTGGTATCTAAATTTTATGAAATTTTCTTACCGCCAATTTTTTTAAATTTACATATTGGTCCTATGTTTATATTTCACTTGAGTCCATGAAATAATCCACCAATCCTTTTGAACCAATCCATGAATCCAATCCACCATAACATAAAAGTATAAATTTAGTTTGTACCATACAAGATGTTGTATCATTCAACTGTAGAAGAATATCCGACCATTTTATATTTTCTTACTACTTGATACATTAAATAAATGATAAAAGAGAGACGACTCTTAAATATTGCAAGAGAAAATTTGTAAACTCATTTAGTACATTTGCGGGTTACTAAACAAACTTATACTAACTACATGTAAGGGTAACAAAATATGGGACATCTACATAAGCAAGTGTCATTAAATTGCTACAGTGAAAAGGCTTGACTGCTGTATTGGCGGCCAACTAAAAGAATTGGTCAAAACATTTCCATCATCTACTTCCTCTTCATTTCATTTTTCACTAGTCTTCCATAACCCTCTCTTTATTTCTTTCTTTGCCTTCTTCGTCTAACCCTAATTAGTATACTATTTTTATGTATTCTAATCACAAGTATAAATTGGTCCACACACGAATGACCAATAGGCTAGAGAATTAATAATTGAACCATGAACCACCAACTTTTTTAGCTCAATGCCAAGTCCAATTAAAAATAAATATATATGGTTATTACTTATTTGAAAGTCGTCATTTTCTACTATGGGATTTGAAGGCGTGAAATTTTAAACGAGTTCCAGTTTGTATTCATTTTGTTTCTCTCTAGTGTTTTTCTTTTTCACTCGGGCTAGAATTTTCAACAATTCTACATGGAATGTTTGGCTAGGTATCTACACGTATCAAATAAATAGTTCCTTATTTTCTATAAAAAAGTAAATATTTATCATATTAAATACATCACCATAAAAGGAATTAAGGCTCAACTATACAAATTATAGTTCGGTACCTAAACTTAATATATCTTTAAGTTATCATTCCTTACTAAACTCTCTTCTAACTATACGTTTATAACCCATTTCAGGGGCATCCAACGCAAGAGCCGGAAAGTAGGGAACATGAAGTTCTGAAGGCAGAGGTGAGGAGGATGGTGACAGCCGATGAAATTAATGGAGTAGTCCACGAAGTCAATGTTAAAGCCATAATCAAGAAGCTACATTTGATAGATGTAGTTCAACGATTAGGAATTGGGTATCACTTTGAGACGGAGATTGAAGAAGCTCTGGAAAAAGTTTATGTTCATGGGGAGAGTCATTTATTGGAAATAATAGTAACATTGATTTGTATGGTGCAACCCTTTGGTTCCGACTCCTCAGACAACAAGGGTTTCATGTTTCCCCTGGTATATCTCAGTCCCCACTCCTCAAGTTGAAAAAGGAGGAATTTTACAATACTATATAGTATTGGTGCTATAAGTTTTTGTCTTTATGGTACAACTTGATATTGTACCTTTAACGTTATGGTACAATTTCAACTTGTACCTATACGTTTTGTACAAATTCTTTTATGGTACAACTTAAATTTATACCTTTATGTAATGGTACAACTTCAAATCGTAAAGTTGTACCTTGACATAATTGTACAAATTTCATTATGGTACAACCTAAACTTATACATTTAATGTTATGGTACAACTTTAAGTTGTTTATTAAAGCACCAATACTATATAGCATAGTAGAAATGCTCTTGAAAAAGATCCAATAGTTATTATTGTGATAAACTTTAATACAACTATTTGGTATTTGTTGTAACTAATCATTAAGTATCTGGTGTAGAGGGATTCAGAAGGTTCAAGGATGATGAAGGGAAGTTCAAAGAATCATTGGCATCGGACGAGCAGGGATTGCTAAGTTTGTATGAGGCAGCCCATGTTGCGTTCAATGGAGAAGACATATTGGACGAAGCTATGGAATTTGCAACCAAGAATCTGGAGTCGATCATTCTGAATCACAAGGGCTCTTCATCATCGAAGAAGCATGTCGAGTTTTCCCTTAGCCTTCCCGTTTGGAAATGTGTCCCCAGAACACTTGCAAGACACTCAATTGACATTTACTCCCAACACGAGAACGCCTGCCATGAACAAACAGTGATTTTGAAGCTGGCAAAGTTGGACTTCAACATGGTGCAAAAATTCCACAAGCAAGAGCTTCATCAACTCTCATTGTGAGTCCTAATCGACAAATTCGACTTTAATAATCGAATTACCATCAAAATTATTTTTTCTATCTCTATATAGGGTTCATTAAAATATAACAAATACAAAAATTGTAACTAATCAAGGCAGTTTTGATTATAATTTTGTTGATACTGTGAGGGTCGTTACACTAATTCAGATAAGTATATATATCTTGAATTGATTCGCGACATATAATATATGCAGGTGGTGGGCGAGTCTTGAAACGACGACTAAATTTCCATATGCAAAAGACCGACTTGCGGAGTCCTATTTTTGGATCAATGCCGTTTACTTCGAGCCAGTGTATCAATTGGGAAGGATCATACTTCTCAAGTTTGGATGCGTAATTACCCTCTTGGACGACACCTATGACAACTTTGGTAACTACAAGGAGCTGGAGCTCCTCACAGAAACCATTCAGAGGTGCAACTTCTCGTCGTCACTGTCTGCCAGTATGTATTATCACTATGACATTCTCACTTATTTTCAAAAATGAAATTTTAGGTTGGATATCAGTGGTTTGGAAATCCTTTCGGGCACAATGAAGGGCGTGTATCAGATCATCATTAACCTGTTCGAAGACATCGAGCAGGAACTCACAAGAAGTGGACTCAGTACTTTTGGTATTGACTACTGTAAGGAACAGGTAGTTATTTTATACTTCTCTACATGTACTAAGGCTTCTTCTAGACCACAAATTTTCATTTCTTAGATGACTGAACGCTAAGAATCCAACAATGTGTGAGAAATTTGAGGTATTGGGATGAATTAATTACATTTTAGTTGGAATGATATCACGAACTTTGATTGAGAAATTTGATGCCTAATATTCAAGAATCGAATTGATGCTAGTTAACGAGAGAACGTTACTCTTTTCGTACATGTTAATGTAGTTCAAGAAATTGTGTCGCTCCTTCTTGGCTGAGTCCCGGTGGCGCACCAAAGGTGAAGTTCCGAATCTGGAGGACTACTTGGAGGATGCACATGTGACCAGCAGTTATTTTTTTCACTGCCCAGCTTCGTTCCTAGGGATGGGAGCAGAGGTAGGAACCAAAGAGGCTTATGAGTGGGTAACCAATGAAACCAATAAGATGGTCATAGCTGCGTCTCTCATTTGCAGGATCCAAAACGACATCAGGTCTCACATGGTAAGTATCGTGCAACACACAAGATAGTATAAATACATATATAGTGTTATTAACTTTTCGAACAACGGTGAATGGTGTTTATGTCCGCATGTGTGCAGTTCGAGCGAAACAGGAAGCATGTGGCTTCAGCAGTGGAATGTTACATGAAGGAGCATGACGTCTCTCAAGAGGATGCGATCGTTGTGTTGTGGGAAGAGATTTCAAAATCTTGGAAAACCATGATTAAGGAATATGAGAAACCAACTCCATTTCCTGCCATTGTTACAGATCGAGTTCTCAATTTTGCTCGCTTGATCAGTGTGATGTACAGGAAGGGTGATGCCTTCACTCATCCTCATCTTCTAAAGGAACAAATTGCTTCCTTGTTCGCCAATCCTGTGCCGCTTTGAACGTCGATGTCCAAGATTGCATGTGATAACATAGTTCTTCCTCAAGTTCAATGCTCAAACACCCTCATCGAGTCTTTGTTGTTGCGATCACTCTTATAAAAAAAAACAGGTCTTTGTTGTTGTTTCTTTTCGTGTGCCGTTGATTCGTGTCAGCTTCCGTCGTTTGGATTTTTCAGCTTTATTAATAAAGAACAATTTCTCTTTGGAGGATTTGTTATCTATCTGTCTGAAGGTCTGACCTTGGCCGTCGGCATATTAATTAGAGTTTATGGCGAAAGGAATTTATGTCTCCTATCATGATCCTATAAGTAATAGAATTGTAAAAATTAAGAAATTTGCGTACCAAAATATAATTTTACAATCAAAATTTATGGACTTATTTGTAAAAAAAATTAGGTACTAAATTGTAAGAAAAAATAATTGTGGGTACCCAAAACGTAATTTGTAAAAAATTAGTGTGTTGATTAGGACCAACCCACTGACCCGATCCGTCCGGACCCGTCCCAACCCTTAAGGGTAAGACAGAGTCAAAAAGAAAACAGGGACGGAATGGATCCGTTATGCATCTCTAGACCCTTCGGGAATGGATACCAAAGAGGATGATGGATACGTCATGACAATTTTCAGCCCTACCCAATACAGCAATACGTAGCAAGTAGACATGAATGGAATCCGTCCACATCAAATTGGGGTGCTCCTCTTGATAAGGCTGGTAATTGGTCGGTTACCGATCAATTAATCGATAACCGATTTACCGGTTATCGGTATACCGAATAATTACAAACTGCTACCGATCAATTACCAATACCGGAAGATAATCGATTAACCGGATAACCCGATAACTGGTTATCGGTGATCAACCGGTTAACACTAATAAAAAGAAAAGAAGCAGCCACTTCCTGCCTTCCTCGCATTCCTCTGTCTCGCGAGTCTCCCCAACTCTCCTCACCTTCCAAACCCTTTCTCCGCTCTCATTCATTTCTCTGACGCTGAGGGACACAATCTCTCATCGGCGACGCCACCACGAAAACAGGTCATCGACGACAAGGAGGAAAATGGTTGGGTGTTTTTCGGCTCTTTCCACGCAAGCATCACGGATCCGGCCACAAATGAGGCTGGAGATCGAGCGACGGAGAGAGGGAATCAGACAACCTCCCAACTTCCTCTTTTCCTCAAGAGATTTTGAAATAGCTGGGGTACATCTAGGGGTGGGCAACGGGAAACGGGTATTTGGGTATACCCGTAGCCATCCCGTTTTTTAAGGGTTATGGGTACCCATATTACCCGCAATATTATAAATGGATGAGACTTGGGATTGAACATTCCTAATATGGGTACCCGCGGGTTACCCGCGAATACCCGTTTGGGTAATATGGGTACCCGTTATACCCATTCAATACAAATGCATAAATTTAATTCAGCCCAACCCAATTCAAAACCCATTGGCCATTTCGGCCCTTACCCTTTCAATTTCAATTTCATTTGGGCCATTACCCTTTCACTCTTTCACTGACATGTTTGGTGAATTAGTAGAGAGAGTTGTGATGTGTTGAATGAAACTTTTTTTTTTATAATTTGGTACTTGGAATGATTTATTTCTATGTGTTGTGATTGTTCATGAATGTGTAATTTGCAAACCAAGTATTTGTGATTGGGATGTATTTTGTGTCTTGTGATTGTTAAGCAAATACAAGTTAAGTTTAAACTTTTGTTAAAATTTTAGTGGTTTAAACTTTGGGTATTTATGGGTAGTATGGGTACCCGTTATCCGTCCCGTACGGGTAATGGGTACCCGTTTCCCATATGGGTTTGGGATATGGGATGGACTTTGGTCTCCAAATGGGACTGGGTTTCAGTTTAAAACGGGACAGGTATCCCGTCCCGTCCCGTTGCCCACCCCTAGGTACGTCAGCTATTTTGAAATTCTTAAATGGCAGAATTTTAAAATTCCTAATAGTCAAAATCCCTAAACAAATGAAAACTTACCAAACGCAACAATTTGGTGAAATTCTGGAAGGACAGGAATTGGAACAAAATCCCACTCCCAATTTCCTAATCCAAACGACCCCCAGAGATTTTGAAATAGCTGGGGTACATCAGCTATTTTGAAATTCTTAAATGGCAGAATTTTAAAATTCCTAATAGTCAAAATCCCTAAACAAATGAAAACTTACCAAACGCAACAATTTGGTGAAATTCTGGAAGGACAGGAATTGGAACAAAATCCCACTCCCAATTTCCTAATCCAAACGACCCCCAAAGCTAAAATTGATATGGAGAGATCGAGAGCGGTAACTCCTACCCAGAGAACTGATTTTAGATCTGCGTTTTGAGAACGACGGTGATGTTTTTTGACTGAAAACCTAGGTTATGGTTTATTTCTGGGCAGGAGAAGAACGGCGGTGGTGATAGAGACTGAGATGTCGCCGGGAAAGAAGAAGACATGGACACGGAGTCGTCGCCGGCAAATTCTCATTCATCTTTGGGGTTTTCGATTTGTGGGGTTTTCAATTTTGGGGTTTTAACTTTTAAATCTTGGTTTGTTGCCTTACTTGTACCTCCGACTATGGGTTAATTGTTATTTGGGGTTTAGGAGGGTGATTGTTCCCATTGACGTCGATCTGTTGTTGCTGGGTAGTTAGGAGGGTGATTGTTCCATGGTTGTGGGTGAGTAGGTGTGGGTCCATGGGAGGGACGAGAGTGGAGAGGAAGAAGAGTAGGGGATCGCGGATGGAATCGGTATATCCGGTATATACCAATTTTCCGTCGGTTATTTACCGGATGCGAGTCGGTATACCGATGGATGTAGTTTGACTACCGCATACCAAAACCGTCGGTTATCGGTATAACGGGTATCGGCCGATACCCGTTATACCGATAACCGGGAAACCGATTACCAACCCTACCTCCTGATAAGGAATTAGTATTATTTTCTGTATCGCAAGTCCCGATGACTGATTAATCGGGCTTTATCTAAATCTACATCTACACTTATTATTTTCTTATCTATAGAAAAATACATTAATGTCATTTCCACCACGTTTAGCAACTGAAATGTCATTGATTCCAATATTGCATATTGCATTGCACTCTTGAATGTATAGCTTCTTCGTAATGTAATGGAATAGAAGAGTCAGAGTCTTTCTCGCCCAGACGAATTCCATTTAGATTTAGATCTAAATGGATATCGACTAGATCCTTAGGTTGATGACCATCAACGATACCGCCTTCTCTTCTATCAGAAATCCCTGAAGAATTTTTAGATTGTAGCTTGCCAAAATTAACAATGCATTATTATTAACAAACACGATAAAAAAGATCAATTACGTACATACATACATATCATGACACCGTCCACAACTATAGAATATTTATAGTTTTGTTATTGCTTAATAAATCCAATCCACAATTACAGAGAATACATAATCCAATAAATTCTCTTAAACTACGCATAATTAAACCGATTACGAAAAATACCAAATAAGATAAATACTCCTTCAAAACAGTTAAATGATAATTGTAAAATAGCACAATATATAAATAATCACCAAAATAGAATATAATGCGAAAAGTGATGTATCTAACATTTGGCCCAGTTTGAGGCTCATCAACGGCCCATGAACTTAGGCGAGATCGGCCAATGATCTGTGAGGCTTGAGGACTAGATTGTGAAGGTTGCCGATTTTTCGGAGCCGGGCGGCGGGCGGGGACTCCAGGGAATTTGGCAGCCGGAGTTGGGTTGTTGGTGTTTGTTATTCTCGAATGAAGATAGTGGCTTATAGCCCATACATGAACCAGAATTTGTGCTCCTTTAGACACAATGAACCGACAGATATAAAAATTTGGTCCTTTCTTGGGAAAAAATCCCAAGTTACACATGTTTTTAAAAAAATTTCTCAAAGTACACACGTTATGAAAATAATTCCCAATCTACGCATTTTTGTGCCATCACCGCTGTCGACGAAGACAGTGATTGCATCACCGCTGTCGACAAAGACAGTGATTGCATCACCGCTGTCGACGAAGACAGTGATTGCATCACTGCTGTCGACAAAGACAGTGATTGCATCACTGCAGTACACGGCCGCGGTGAAGGCCTGACCTGCGTCGAAACTTTAAACAAACGTAACTTTGTGCTCGGTTATCCGATCGTAGCGAAATTTTTTTTGATTCCGCATAATTTTTCGAGATCTTGCAAGCCGAAAATTGCCGTAGGCGGTTTGATCCCGCCTTCGTCTCGAAAATATGTCGTTTGCTACCCCGAACGAGCCTTTTTTCGATTTCGTCAAACTTTGAACGACCATAACTTTGTGCTCCACAATCCGAAAATCATGATTTTTTTTTATTTCGCATAACTTTTTAAGGACTACAATTTTTATCATAGACATATTTTCGGAATGTACTTGGATTCCTGAAAAGGAAGGTAAAGTTATTCCCAAAACCCCTTATATCTATAAATAATTAATTTTTTGAAAATTCTCTCCTACTAAATATTGTAGTCCTTAAAAAGTTATGCGAAATAAAAAAAAATTCATGATTTTCGGATTGTGGAGCACAAAGTTATGGTCGTTCAAATTTTGACGAAATTGAAAAAGGCTCGTTCGGGGTAGCAAACGACATATTTTCGAGACGAAGGCGGGACCAAACCGCCTACGGCAATTTTCGGCTTGCAAGATCTCGAAAAATTATGCGGAATCAAAAAAAATTTCGCTACGATCGGATAACCGAGCACAAAGTTACGTTTGTTTAAAGTTTCGACGCAGGTCAGGCCTTCACCGCGGCCGTGTACTGCAGTGATGCAATCATTGTCTTCGTCGACATCAGTGATGCAATCACTGTCTTCGTCGACAGTGGTGATGCAATCACTGTCTTGGTCGACAGCGGTGATGCAATCACTGTCTTGGTCGACAGCGGTGATGGCCCAAACATGCGTAGATTGAGAATTATTTTCATAACGTGTGTATTTCGAGAATTTTTTTTAAAAATATGTGTAACTTGGG